GGAGGTGGCATGTCCTCACTTTGTAAGGTTTCTCTCCTTGTCTGGAAGCTACCTCTCGCAGACTGTTGTCCAGGAAAGTCTGCACTCCAATCATCACTTGCATGGCTGAGGCGAGGAGCTGGTTGAGCACTGTCAATGGATGTGCTTTGGCGATTTCCATCGAAGAAGGAACTGGTGGCACTTGCAGGTCTCCTGGGAGGTGGCATGTCCTCACTTTGTAAGGTTTCTCTCCCTATCTGGAAGCTACCTCTCGCAGACTGTTGTCCAGGAAAGTCTGCACTCCAATCATCACTTGCATGGCTGAGGCGAGGAGCTGGTTGAGCATTGTCAACGGATGTGCTTTGTCGATTTCCGTTGAAGAAAGAGCTACTGGTGCTTGCCGGTCTCCTGGGAGGACGCATGTCCTCACTTTGTAAGGTTTCTCTCCTCATCTGGAAGCTACTTCTCGTGGTCTGTTGTCCGGGCGAGCCTGTACTCGAATCATCTCCTATAGGGCTAAGGCGAGGAGCTGGTTGAGCACTGTCAACGGATGTGCTTCCACGATTTCCATTGAAGAAAGAACTGCTTGCGCTTGCAGGTCTCCTGGGAGGCAGCATATCCTCACCTCGTATGGTTTCTCTCCTTGTCTGGAAGCTACCTCTTGTGGTCTGTTGTCCAGACGAGTCTGCACTCCGACCATCATTTACCCAGCTAAGGCGAGAAGCTGGTTGAGCACTCTCAAAGGATGTGCTTTGGCGGTTTCCACTGAAGAAAGAACTGCTGGCATTTGCAGGTCTTCTGGGAGGCGGCATATCCTCACTTTGTAAGCTGTCCCTCATTGTCTGGAAGCTACCTCCCATTGTCTGTTGTCCAGACGGGCCTGCACTCCAATCATCACTTGCATGGCTAAGGCGAGGAGCTGGTTGAGCGATGTCAGTGGATGTGCTTTGACGATATCCATTGAAGAAAGAACTGCTGGCGCTAGCAGGTCTCTTGGGAGGAGGGATATCCTCACTTTCCAAGGTTTCTCTCCTGGCCTGGAAGCTACCTCTCGTAGTCTGTTCTTCAGATGAGCCTGCACTCCGATCGTCACTTACACGGCTTAGGCGAGGAGCTGGTTGAGCACTGTCAATGGATGTGCTTCCAGGATTTCCATTGAAGAAAGAACTGCTGGCGCTCACAGGTCTCCCAGGAGGAGGGATATCCTCACTTTCCAAGGTTTCTCTCCTTGTCTGGAAGCTACCTCTCGTAGTCTGTTCTCCAGGCAAGCCTACACTCCGATCGTCACTTACACGGCTTAGGCGAGGCCCTGGTTGAGCGCTGTCAATGGATGTGCTTTGGCGATTTCCAGCGAAGAAAGAACTGGTGGCACTTGCAGGTCTCCTGGGAGGTGGCATGTCCTCACTTTGTAAGGTTTCTCTCCTTGTCTGGAAGCTGCCTCTTGCGGTTTGTTGTCCAGGCGAGTTTGCACTCTGATCATCACTTACACGACTGAGGCGCGAAGCTGATTGAGCACTGTCCATGAATGTGCTTCGGCGATTTCCATTGAAGAACGAACTGCTGGCACTTGCAGCTCTCCTGGGAGGCGGTATATCCTCACCTTGTAAGGTTTCCCTCCTCAGCTGGAAGCTACCTCTCGTGGACTGTTGTCCAGACAAGCCTTCCCTCCAATCAGCACTTACACGGCTAAGGCGAGGAGCTTGTTGAGCACTGGCAATGGATGTGCTTCGGCGGCGGTTGCTGTCATCTATGACACTCAACATTCTGCTCAGCCTACTCAATCTGCTTTGTCTTGGGATTTTACTGCCACGTCTTTCATCTTCTGGCATTGCTGCAAGATCCTGCACTTTCATGAGGGTGATTTTAGGCAAGCACCACCAGACAATCAACGGATCAACCACATCAGGGCCACTTATCTGTCTCCAATCAAGAAAAGAAAACCCCCCAAAAGGAACTTGTATTGAGAAGTAACTAGGGCGAAAAAAGAATTACTCACACACTGTGCCTAATTTCATTATTATTATTATTATTTTTCCAACAAGCGTTTTGGCATGGATGGAGGAGTGGCCTGCTTTTGCCCTGCAACATCCATGGTCTACTTGCCATTGGTATTGGGTTCCGACTCCTGAGACTTTATTAATTTTTTTCTTCTGTTTTCGAACTCGCAACGGAGTTGCCTTGACTGGTGCTGAATAGCAAGCAAGGCTTTAAGGTGGGGCCAATCCTGAAACCTTGCATCAGTTCGGATTCTGAATCTCTGCAACTTGAGAACATGAAGTTGGAATCGCTAGTAGTCGGGGATGAAAGCATGGCCCTGCTCAGGGAAGGTTCATACCAGAACAAACCTTTTCGAGCACGAAGGTTCTGCTGAACCACCCTCCTGATGATGCCTGAGTGGACAGGCGAAACCGGTCGGGGGTTCCACGTGTTGCTCTGTATGCAGTTTACATGTGCTTTTTCATGCAAACGGACTGGCTATGTCACGTTCTCATCTATGAGTTTGCTTGCTTGAGATTTGGACATGGCTGCTCGGACTGTGCTGCCGCAGTTCGCCACTATCTATTTATCTGTCTATCTATAACTATTAAAGGAAGGAGCGGGTCTTGGAAGACGCTCCCTCTGGGCCCAGCGAAAAAAAGGCCCACGTGCCATTTGGGTGGTACAGCGGGTGTTCGCCGAATTGGTTTTCCACGTGGTCACGTCCTGAGGCCCTTTTCTTTTCTTCCTGGTCGCGGGATCGAACAGGTGTGGCAGGCAGTGTTGTTTGGTTTTGTTTTCTTTTTTTGTCGTTCAGTAGATTAAAGGAAGGAGCGGGTCTTGGAAGACGCTCCCTCTGGGCCCAGTGAAAAAGAGGTCTGCTTGCCGTTTGGGTGGGACAGCGGGTGTTCCCCGAATTGGTTTTCCACGTGGCGCATCCCGAGGCCCTTTTTTTTTGTTTTTGTTTTATTTTGTTATTAGTTAGTATGGTATGTACTATGCAGTACTACGCACTCTATGTATGGGTGACAAGTTTCATTGCAAACTTAAAAAGGCCTTTCGGGTCTCTTATAAATGTCATGAAAAAATTCTGAAAATTCAACCCTACGTTAACCTTCCCTCGGGGCAGTAATTGACATAACAAAGGAGCGGATGCAGACGGCCCTCCGTGTGGAATGGGTGGCCGTGAAAGCCAAACTGGACCGTTTACCAGAGGAAAAGGGTATTAAAAAAGCAATCAAGGATTTCTACCCAGACTGGCTGGTGGGGGTGGAAGGGGGTGGATGGCAGAGGTTTCATAGGGAGGGAAGTACATCTCCGCTCAGTGGAATCGGCATAACAAGATCTTGGTGATATGGGGCTATAGACTGTGATTTTAGAAAACTGGTCCTGCATTGACCCCCCACAATTTCCTTTGAGGCCACCAATAGATTTTCCTGATCCCTTTCCTCCTGGTGGATTGTATGTTGTCGAGTTGGGCTGGTTTGGGTATGAGTAATCCTTTGGTTTCCCCTGTCCGTTGTGACGTTTTTTTTTTTGTTGTTGTTGAAACACTGCCTCTGGGCAGGCTAGCAGTGGTGATACAAGCAGCCCCTGCCAGCCGTGGATGCGTCATGTTTTCCGCATCTTATGTCGCAAGTCCCTTCCCATGTCCAGAAAGCGTTTCTTGCCTTCCGTTTGGAAAAGTCACAGGTACAGTCTGTGTGACCGTAATAGAAGTCAGTTATTTCTTCTACAAAAGGGTTTGGCATTTGGACGAGGGAGACCTTCTCGATGTGGTGGTCGACATAGCAGTATGGCGGATATCTGGCAGCTAAGCGGGAGCTGAAGAGGCACGGGCTCTTCCTTCAAATGCGGGCATTTGCACAAACAAGTCAATCCTGTAGTTTCTTCCACAGCAATCAAATGCTGACCTGCTCCTCAATTTTTCCGATTTGTCCTATTCATATGTGATTCAACCTGGGACGCTGGGGCGACCCCGAAACGGATCGGTGCCATCGGCCTTTTCTGCCATTGCACACAGTGACTAGGCACTGTTTGCGGTAACGGCCCCAGCACTATCCGGGTTGAGATGTTGAGGAATTCCCGACCTCAGTGTTTGTTAAATTGTTATATAACAAAACTGCAGCTTTCTTTTTTTTTTTATAACATGGGACGCTGGGCCTGCTTCCCAGTACATGTGTTGCTTCCGACGAATAAATTGGGGTCATCCCAATGAGTGAATCAAAACAGCAACGCAAGGAGGCAGTGATGCAAGGAACGACCTCTAGAGTCTAGAGGACAAAGTTTTCTGCTATAAGATATGAGATTGCTAACTAGAAAAAGGTTGACTGTAAATTGTTCTCACTGGAAAGCCCCGCAACGGTGTCAACAGCGATCCTCTTAAACCACCAGTACTTGGCCCCACTAATGGTTAATAGGTGGTGTCATTTTCGGCGAATTCCCATTAACCATCTCTCCACACATCGCAGCGGGGCATTGTCATTAACGCCCCGCAACTTCCGGATGCTCGGGGTACCGGCCCTCAAAGGCTGGCGCCGCCAGCCAAAACAATTTTTTCTTGTTGCGCTGGCGGGGCGACGTGAAGCGGCGCGCAGCCATCGGCATCGATAGCTGGGCCAAGTACTGGTGGATTAAGGTGCATGTCGACAATATGAATCGGACCTTTGCTCCCCAGGAAGAGGGTCTCTGTTGACACCGTTGGGAACGCTCTTGCCGGGTCCAAAATGAACCCGGCTGCTGCTGCTGCTGCTGCTCAGAATAGTGCGGACCTGTGAGCATAAGGTTCTCCTTTGTCTTTTTTGAAAATGTCATTTCGAGGAATGACTAAGGGGAAGACGGGACCCTCTCCCTCCCTCCGTCCCTCCCTCCCTCCCTTGCAGTAGTGTTGTGCCTGACGAGGTGGAGAGTTTTGTATAGCCAATTTCTGCTTCAGGCTCTATCCTCTTAGGAGTGATGCACATTACACACTTCCTTTATCATCCCCATGAACAGTTGCCATATTGGCATTGAATTTTGAAATGAGGAGGATGAAATCATAAGCATATCGAGGAGACCGGAAAGCTGATGGCGTGTGTTGCCGTATATCTGCTTGGAAGTGCAGATGTTCAGAAATTGCTGCTAGTGTGTGACCACCCATTGCTAATTAAAAAAAAAAAAAGGGGGGGAGGAGCTGGGAAACCCACCAGTCACTGCCTGAACCTAGATAATTTGTCCTCAATAAGTTGTAACTTGTAATGGCAGTGGAAGTAGTGGAAAGTCATAAGTAACTTACCGTATCAACTGGAAGTCCTCCGGTGATGGTTGCTTGTGCCTCTGTGCCATGCGCATTGTCCAGCATCATAACATGATCTGAGTCGTCAGCTCCTCCTGAACCACCATCCGCCAGAGAGCCCTGTACCGCGCTGTAAAGTTCTCTAACAGAGGGAAGTTTCTTTGCCAGTGATTCTAATAGAATCTTCAGGTAATTCACTTGCTCCTCCAGGGGTATTCTCAGCTCATCCATCTCAACCCACAGCCCGCCTAACTCCTCTTGCAACTCTTTGCTGTTCCACCAACCTGATTCTTCCAGCTGTCGCTCAAGCACGGCACACTGACCTTCTAGCTCATTATTTTCCTCCCTCAGCTTGGTTATTTCCCTTCCCAAGACACTTATCACAAACGCCATCTTGTTCTCACGCTTGGTCACACTCTTTCCCTCCCCTATAATTGCAATCAATGGCTCCTTCGAGGCCGCAGCTCTCTCTAAGTCCTCAATGCTCCGTCTTCCATGGATGAACTCGGTTATGTCTTTCACCACATCAGAACTGACATCAACAGCATCAGTTCTTTCGGCATCGTCATACTCGACATCGCTGGCTTTGGATGATTCCAGAGTTTCTTGCAGCTCCTTGACCTTCCTCTGCATTTCCTGGCGGTCGCTGTCACTCATTCCGTCCTTGTCCCACTTGGCATCTGTAACAATTTCAGCAATCTTAAGCCTGACAATTCCTATTTGACTGCCCAGTGAGGTGGCTCTTCTGGTTCTCTTTTCCACCTCATTCGCCAGAACATCTCTCTCTTTAACAATCCTCTTGATTTCCTCTGACGCTGTTTGGATTGTTTCTGCCATATTCTCCATCTTCTCTCTCAACTCCTTGACCCGGTTATTGCTGTCTTCAAGCGTTGCCACTCCTTCCATGACAGCATTCAGTCTCCCCAGCTCTTCGTGTAACTGAGTGATGGCTTCTGCTTGGTTGGCGGCCGACATGCTCCTTAGCTCGCATAGTCTACGCACTGCGCTCACTATATTGTCGCTTTCACTCTTTATGTTCAGGGCCTCCGTAACTCCTGCATGCACAGAATCTTGCCTGGCCCTGACGTTTTGTCTTTGACTTTCGTCAGTCAGCGATACGGGCATATCTGCCTGGACCTGAATGTCTTCCCCCTGTATTTGCTTTGTCGCAGAACCTTGTGTTGCACCGACATCAACGCCAACAGCTGCTTCATTCAGCGGTCGGCGTGTGTTTGTTTGGGACCCCATAGTCGCCTCTGGCATGATCTGGGTGTCAAAACCTTGGCTTGCAGAGATGCCTCTGGGTGTGTTTGTCTGGGCCTCAACGGTTTGTCCCTCCAGTTGGTGGGTCTCCGAACCTTGGTTTGCACTGACGCCTGCATCTCTCCCCACGCCTTCTTCACTTACTGATCTGGGCTCATTTGTCTTGGCCTCTGGCATGAGCTGGGTGATAACCTCCCCTTGCATTCCCTGGATCTCGGGACCTGGGTCTGAACGGACGTCTGCATCTGTCCCCATAAGTGCTCCACTTAGGGATCTGAGCTCGTTTGTCTGGCCTTCCATTATCTCCCCTTGCATTTGCTGGACAGCGGAACCTTGGTTTGCACTGATGTCAGCACCGGCAGATGCTCCATTCTGGGACCGGGGTGTGTTTGTCTGGATCTCGATGGTCTTATCCTGGATCTCGGGACCTTCGTATGCACTGACATCAGCCCCGGCAGAAGCTTCATTCTCGGACCTGCGGGTGTTCATTTGGACCTCGAGAGTCTTCCCATCTGGTTGTTGCTGGATCTCCAAACCTTGGCCTACGATGACGTCAGCCCCACCAGATGCTTCATTCTGGGACCTGGGCGTGTTTGCCTGGGTCTCGGCGGTCTTCTCTTGCGGTTGCTGGGTCTCCAAACCTTGGCTTGCACTGGCGTCTGCCTCTGTCCCTACATCTGGTTCGTCCAGGTATCTGGACAAATATTTGGACGCACTGCTCTCATTGTCCATAATCTCCCCCTCGATTCGCAGGACCTCAGTAGCTTGATTTGCACTGATGTCATCCCTGACAGATGCATTTCTCGGGGATCGGGGCCGGTCTTCCCGAACCTCTATAGTTTTCCCCTGTGTTTGTTTCCTTGCAGAACCTTGTTGTGTGCTAACAGAAGTCCTGGCAGACGCTTCACTCAGCGATCTCTTCTGTTTCTTTCCCTTCTTCTCCTGCTCCCAGTCTGCATTGTCTTCATCTTCATCTTCATTTTCGTCTTCATGAATCCTTCCCAGCAACTCCTTACGATCTTCTGGCTGAACCATACTTTTTATCTTCTCTGAGCGTGCTGCGGAAAACTGCTTTCCTGTCTCTGAATCAGCCACATCACCATTCATGACCATTGTCCTCTCCGAGGGAGAAGTCCTGATTTTTCTTGCCTCCAAATTACTCATCTCACGCTCCCATACGTGCTCAAAATTCTCAGAGAGTTCAGTGGGATGGTATCCTCTTGCCCGTTTCCATAATTCCTCAACCATTTCTGTCATTTCCAGCTCTCTCTCCTTGAGGAGAAGTCTGAGCTGCAAAGCCTCTTCCTCTTCTTCCCTCATGCTACCTTCCATTTCATAAAGCTTTCTCCTAAGCCCCTCCATGTCCCAGATTGTTGATCCTTCCACTTCTGGATCGATCACCATGCCAGTTTGTGGGTCTGCAGATCGTGCTCTTGCTGCTGTGCCCATTTGTCGCTGGGCAATATCAACCGCCGTTGCATCCTGAATCTCTATCTTCAGTTCAGCTATCTCAGTGGTGGTATCGATGAGCTCCTTCACAAGTTCTTGCAGGTGCTGGATCTCCTCTGAAACCACCCACCTTTCTTCCTCGCTCGCTTTCATGACCATATCCATCTCTTGCCTCAAGTCGTCAGTCTCTGCTTGCAATCTATTCATGTTTCTCATCACGTCCACCCATTCACTGGCATTTCTTGAGTCTACCCCCTCCTCCCCTAGGTTCCGGGTTCTTCCAGAACCGGGTTCAACAAGTCGATCACTCATGTTCATCTCTCCTCTGACCGCCACTCCCCATGCTGATGCGTGTTCTAAATCTGCAGCGGCTGTTGAATCCCTTTGGCCACCTTCAGACAGATTATAGGCATCCTCTCCACTCTTTTCATCGTTCTTAGGCCCATCCTTCATTTGCTGTAAGAGAGACTGCATCTGGCCTTGGAGATTACCTGTCTCTGCAAAGGCTTTTCTCTGCAGGCGTGCAATTTTGTCAGCATGGTCACAGATACCCTTCAGCGCAATGGCCCTTGGTGTTCTCTCAAACTCCTCGTCGGCAAAGTGTCCTTGTCCTGACATGGCTTCCCCTTTCTCCTGGACATAATTGTCCTCAAGCTTTTGCAGCTGCAGACACACCAATAAAGCACGCACAAGTGTACCATTCGACACCAGGACATGATGGAATTCACGATCCGAAGTTCTCTGATCACCCCCTTAACCGCATTGCTTCAACCCATGGAAGGAGAGCTGCCATAGCAAGGTCCCTTGCGTTATGCCAAACCAACTCCATGGTATAGAGTAGGGTGTTTGTAATTGTTACTCCAAAAGAAGTGTGAGCCTTTCGTTATGACACTTCCCAGAATTGAATGAGCCCCTCCAAAAAGGGCGATCATGGCCTTGGATGTTGGGCATAAAGTTGCAGCATGAGTTGTGAATTCCCCGTTGCGCCGCATTTTCTATTGCGTTTCAGGAGAACCGTTCAGGGCTAATTCAAGGGCTTCCCTTAACTTGGTGCAGAATCCCTAACATGGCAGGTCAAACTACCAGTACCTTGCCCGGACGTTTTGCCTGACGTGTTTGTATGCAACCACTTTTTTCGGGTGCTCGGCCTGTTAGACCTCTCTTTGGCTGGCGGCACCAGGGAAAAGGACAGCAATTTGCGCCATACCTCGCAGCACAAATCCAGGTCGGGAAAAAGATTCTTGGAGGTACTGGTGGTTAAGGGTCAAAGTATTGACGCGAAGTTAGTACTCTGTGCCGTTAAGGGTCAAGTCAAGGGTCAGAAAACTGACGTCAAGAGTCAAGCTGCAGCAATGATTTCTCTGCTGCTCAATTTGTGCGCCAAGTGGAGCACTAGACAAGTTGATCTGTATCACCATGTCAGAGATCGCTGACAAAGCATGAGCACAGATCCAAAGAAACAGCAACATAGTGCAATTTGAACTTTATGAAATTTGAACTTTGAACAATCCAAAGCAAAGCATGAAGTATCGTGGAGGGAAAGAGTGTTACTATTATCAAATCCATTCTGACAATCAAACGTGTATTGGCATTCACAAATCGACAGATACCATGACTCAGTGCGATCGCAGAGGAGAAGAGTAGCAGGAGGAGAAAGGAGAAGAGGATGAGGAAGAGAAATTGGTGGACAAGGAGGAGGACGGGGAGGATATATGTCAAAAGTCAAAGCATCTACGGTAACATGAAGGAGGACGGGGCCCAGACCTAACCGATGCTATGTCTCTGCTTGGAAAGCAAGAACCTGGTCATAATGATGGTCATCTTTGTGCGTTGCGAGCATGAACATAGCAATACCGGGGCCTGGCTTTGGATGATTCTTTAGATTTCACTCTGAAGTTCTAAACGGCCAACGGGGCCGAACTCAGTTCGTAATGCATGCAAGGTGCATTCAGGACGTAATGGGTCCAATTCCCATTGCCCCCACATATCTGCCTGGGCTTGGTCCCCTTAAACCACCAGTACTTTTTTCCCAGTCATTGTTCTACGATGTGGCGCGTGCATGGCCGCATCTGGTGGGATGTACCGACCTGCCGGTTCACAAGAAATACATGAAGACAAAACAGGCCGTGCACACGACGTGTTTTGCCTGGATATATTTCTTGTGAACCGGCAGGCTGGTACATCCTGCCAAACGCAGCCGTGCATGTGCCACATCGTTGGAAAATGGTTGGGAAAAGTGCTGGTGGCTTAACATCTAGGATAGCCTGTTGGTCAAGGGCAAGCCGTAGTAGCCTGTTGGTCAAGGGCAAGCCGTAGTAGCCTGTTGGTCAAGGGCAAGCCCTAGAGCTTTGGCACTGTGAAGGAGTGGTTGCGGGCTAGGCTATGTCGAGCCTCATCCTCTTCTGCGCATGTTCAGCTGGTGTTAGAACACCGCACGCACCTGCCCCCCAGCCTAGCACAGTTCATGAGCAGCTAGCTGATACCTCACACAGGTACTTGCAAGATCGTCAGGTTGGCGGGCATTATCCCATGGGCCACGTATTGGGGAGGGAGCATCACTCTGCAAAGGCATAATCATCGAGGGCGGTGAGTGCCTTGTAGGGAGCAAGAGCAGACGAGAGGCATGGTCTACCCTGAATCGCGGGAGGTAGGTGGGTTTGCAGGGTCTGAGGGCTCTGCTGAGCAGGTGGCAGGTTTGTTCCACAGGTGGTAGAGGGCAGCGTGGACCATGGAGTACAGTGGCACATGCAGATCTACACACGCCACAGGGTCTCGGGAGAGATGAAAAGTGTTTAACTACGGAGGGTAGCTCAGGGTTCACTAACTTTGCTGTAATAGAAGGCCCTATATACTTGACCTGAGTCAACGGTCATAGACCTGAGCTCCTGTAAATAAGAGTCCATGGAGCATAGCGCCCAATGCGTGGGAGGGTTTAGGGTTTGCGATGCATCCGAAATGCCAGGATGCATACGTCATTAATTTGATAAAAGGTCTGAAGTTCAGGGTTCAAAATCTCGTAGTGATGTCCGCCGGGACATCCGTTAAAATTGGAATTTGGAACGATAGAGAGAAGGAAGATTAGCATGGCCCCTGCGCAGGGATGACATCATGAAACACATAAAAAGTGAAAATAAAAAAATGATAAAAGTCTTGTAGTGATAAGTAAACAGGGAGGGCAGGGAGGGTTCCAAATTACCCATCTTTCATACTGTCTACACAAGGGAAGAGAGTTGGTGGGCTCACAGCTTTGATCGCCAATTTACCTCCTTGGTCAAGAGTGCAGCCTCTTGACCAGCTCGCTTCTGAATCTTCAATATGTCACCCACTCTGTCCAGAATTTCTCCGACTACCGTTTGTCCAGTTAGTGGCATGTCAGTTTTCTCAAAGAGCCTCCTGTACCTCTCACACAATTTGTTCATGACAGCCTCCAGCTCCATCCCCCACACACCTCCAACAGCATTCCACTTTGCATCGCGCACCAATTTTGCTTCCACTGCTTTTGCCTTTTCCATTTGCTCCTGCAGCTGGATCTTCATGTCCTTGTTTCTCTGAACAGCCTCTCTATGAGCTTCAACTGCCTGGCCCTTTTCCCTCTGCAACTGTGAGGCAACATTTGTGAGGTAGGCCACCCTTTGCTGCATCTTGCTGGCTCGCTTGAGCAGCAATGTACTGCGGGCCTCCTCCTTGTGAAGCTGGCGCTTGAAGATCTCAATCCTTTTCTTCCACAGGTCGATCCTGTTTGCCCACGGTTCCATACTCTCTCTGGGGGACTCGGGTTCAGTCTGAGCAGCTCCTGACACTCTCTTCCTGTCGCTCACCGATTTCTGCAGAGTTAGACAAAAAGATTTGAGAAAATACAAGCAGTAGGACGTCGGAACAAATGGCTAATTGGTCAGATAGGGAGGTAGCCTCACAGCAAGGAGGGAGAGGGGGAGGGAACTAAGAAGGGAGGCAAAAAGAGAGAAGTGTGCAAGCATGCCGCACAACCAACAGAGCCAAAGAGATGGAGAATAGGATGCGGTGATGCACATGTTTTCTCCAGCAATGCAGATTTGGAGGAAAACAGACCTGAGGGATACAGGGGTGGGGTGAGAGAGAGAGAGAGAGAGAGAGAGAGAGAGAGAGAGAGAGAGAGAGAGAGAGAGAGAGAG